TATATATAGAATATACCTGGCCAGTTTGGTATAGCCTGCCCCGTCGGTCTGGCTGGCAATAGAGCGCTTGTTCCCTACTACCACTGCCTCGGCTTCTCCCTCGTGTCCGACTTCGCCATCACTCCAGTCACTGTGGTCTTGGCCCAATTGGAACAAAACATCGCTTTGTTTCCGCTTAGGTGTTAGAATGTCGGGCATGGCTTACTAGTTGTATGGTACAATGACAATGATCACACCACCAAGTAAGATGCTACCACTGTGTTTGTACTTTGTGCAGTAAAACAGCGCTATTATACACACAAGATTTTTATGAATATAGGAATTGAGCGGCTTTTTGTCTGTATTGGACCTGGGAACATCCGGCTCACCTCATCGTATCGAACTCAACATAGCTTTCTATTCATTGAACAATCCAATACCGTTTTTTATGTTCAACGCTTACATTGACATAGTCCTATATGTTTGATAAAGGTGCATGGTTTGGGTTCTGAAGTGCAGTATACAGGTTTTATTTTCTGTAATAGACCTATTGTTTGTCATAATAGGTTATGCACCGTCACATATACTTCATAACGTTTGAATGTACTAGACGTATACTTCATACGATTACGTTCGACGTATACGCTGAACTACCGTGGCGTATTTTAAAATGAGGTTTGGAGTTTGGGCACATCGTTGCAATACGTGTTTCTGATATATGCTGAAAACGTAGTACGTTTTACGTTAGCGCTTAATTTTGAAACCGTTTTCCAAATGCAGCCAATTCAAAAAGCTAATTTTGGTTGGATTTGTAAAAAGCTGTTTATATGCCACGATGATACTATGAAATCTGTCAAACTGAAAACGAAACCGCCAATCTTTTGGAAATGAAATAGTAGGCAAGCTGTGCCAATTATAAGGGCGGCCGCAACATCACACCCATATAACGTATGAAACCGTAGTACGTTTTATGTTAACGTTTTAAGAATAGAAGTCTGAGACGGACTTATTAGTCACTACACTCCCTCTAAAGTCGAGTGTAGTAAATATGTATTTAGTGGTTTATATACCCAAAAAGCGACACCTGCTAGACGCAATTACAATCGACTTAACCATTCGATAGCATAAAATGAGTGGAACTGAGAAGGAACAGAAGGAGGGGCGAAAGCGTCGAGGCGGCGGTGAGGGATATGAAGCACACGAAGATCCCGCTGCAAAATATTCGAGAGCGACTGAAGAAGAGGAGTACAGGCATGCCCGAATGCTCAACGAGAACTTGACCGAAACACTGATGGTACGTTCCTAATGACTGAAATTATAGACTAATTTGTTATATTTATTATATGAATCATATATATGTGTGTGTTTAGACGTGTATGCGTGTGCCTGCACATGTGAACTGATGGAGCCCCGTATGTGACATGACCTGTAAAGTGGTTGACTTCATTTGTGTGTTGTATTCGGGTGCTTGTTGCTTTCGTTGTTCATATGGTGCACGTCCGTCAGGGGATCGTTCAATTCAGCGAATACTTTCATGTGCATAATTTAGGGCCAAAGGCCTGTGCAATGAGTTTCAATTTTGCAATATACATGGCCATATATATGTTTGTAATAATAATAATAATAGTAATATAAA